TGTGTAATGTGTAATGTGTAATGTGTCTGTGTATAAATAGACATACCCATACACGCACAAAGTTGCCCATTGGAAGGACGTGACCGAGTACTCATCATCATCGGCCATCTTACGGAGAAAGAATGGCATCGAGACCAGGTTTTCTCACGGATTGGCCATGGGCACCTCTTGGAAGCTTTAAGGTCATTGCTTCATAACATCTTAATATATGCACTTATAATCAGTTGTTTACATCAACTGTTTACTCATACGTTTGTATATAATATGGATGAATATTTCAGTACTTGGTGTTGGCGCCTCCTATCATAGACAGTATCTACTCATACGCGACACTGCAAGATCCCGATAAACTCTTGATTATGGCCCTAATGGTGTGGCGGATTGTTCATAGCCAGGCTTGGATAAGTTTCTCCCGTTACCGAACTGCCAAAGGAACCAAACGGATCGTGAACAAGTCCATAGAGTTTGAGCAAGTCGACAGAGAACGAACCTGGGACGATCAGATTATCTTCAACACTCTCATTGTTTACTTAGTCAAAGCGTACTTCATAGGTAACAATCGCGTTCCCATTTGGCGTCTTGATGGTGTGGTTCTAACCGTTCTCCTCCATGCGGGTCCTGTTGAGTTCATCTACTACTGGTTTCACCGAGCCCTTCACCATCACTACCTCTATTCTCGCTACCACTCACACCACCATTCCTCCATAGTCACCGAGCCCATAACTTGTACGTCCACATATAACTGATTTACNGTAACAATCGCGTTCCCATTTGGCGTCTTGATGGTGTGGTTCTAACCGTTCTCCTCCATGCGGGTCCTGTTGAGTTCATCTACTACTGGTTTCACCGAGCCCTTCACCATCACTACCTCTATTCTCGCTACCACTCACACCACCATTCCTCCATAGTCACCGAGCCCATAACTTGTACGTCCACATATAACTGATTTACTTAAAGCACATAAAACAATAACGCACCTATTACTCTTCCTCCGTTTATGTGTCTGTAACTTTTCAAAAGAATTAAAAATGTTTAAATTCTACTCCTCTGGAAACAAGTAAATTCTTGGATTATGTTCTCTTTACTATTTTAGTATTAGGTTTTACTTTATTTATTTGAACTGTACTATTAATTCGGTAAAATGGTTTTTAATTACTTTTACATTGAAAATTCAAAACAACACTTTCCTTGAAGGGTATGTGTACTAGAGATAGCTAAATTCCGGAAGCTTATTTATAAAATAAATGTAATAGCATAATCGTATATTTACAAGTGGTGTTGATTTTCAGCAAAACAAGATTTTCTCATAAATCTGTATAAACATTTAATATAGTGTATTTAGTGTGGATGAAATGACAGTTCTTACAAAAATGACGTTTCTTAAATAAAAGAAAAACTTGCATACAATATACCAATAATATTGTGTATGGTTTTGATTGCAGCGGTGGTACATCCTTTTGCCGAACACATTGGCTATACAATAATCTTGGGGATACCTCTAATAACGTCTTTGCTATGTGGAACGGTCTCTGTAGCCTCGCTCTTCCTCTATTTAACTTACATAGATTTCATGAACAACCTGGGTCACTGCAACTTCGAGCTCATTCCAAAACCTTTCTTCTCTCTTTTCCCTCCTCTCAAGTTCATCTGCTATACCCCTTCGTAAGTCGTTCACAATTCCTTAGAATAGTATATAATTTAACCATTACATGAGACTCCTGACATAGTGTATAGTTTATGTTGTGTTTGCTAAGCAACATTTATACTGTTTTAATCAAATTTCACTTGTAGAAATTAACGAAAAAGTATTAAAAAATGTACTGAAACAATGTAATATGACTGCAGATTTCACTCGCTCCATCACACACAGTTCAGGACAAACTACTCTCTATTCATGCCAATGTACGACTACATTTATGGGACCAACGACAAGTGCAGTGACTCATTGTACGAAACATCATTAGAGAAAGAAGAAGAGAAGCCAGACGCAATTCATCTAACTCACCTAACATCACTCGACTCTATTTACCAACTCCGGCTTGGCTTTGCCTCCCTCTCCTCGCACCCACTATCTTCTCGGTGCTACCTATTACTCATGAGACCCTTCACTCTAATCATGTCTTTTATACTAACTTCCTTCTCATCTCGAACCTTTGTCTTTGAGAGAAACCGCTTCCGTGATCTCACCATTCACTCCCACCTCCTTCCCAAGTTCTCCACTCATGTTTGTCTCTGCTCTCTCTTCTCTACTAGCTAGTATTTACAAGATATCAAATAACTTCACGTTTTGTAACTGATTTTGTTTGTTAATCTACAGTATATGTCTCGGAAGCATAAAGAATCTATCAACAAAATGATAGAGGCGTCTATCCTTGAAGCAGACAAGAAGGGTGTGAAAGTAATGAGTTTGGGGCTATTGAACCAGGCAAGCAATTAATCAATGCATCTTTGTAGTTCTAACGAGAGAGACTCTATGCATAAACCCTAATTAATATTATAATATGATTAGGGAGAAGAATTAAATGGGTACGGAGAAATGTACGTGAGGAAGCATCCAAAGCTAAAGATTAGGATAGTAGATGGAAGCAGTCTTGCAGCTGAGGTGGTGGTTCATAGTATTCCTGTTGGCACGAGAGAAGTTCTCTTTCGAGGCCAAGTCACAAAAGTTGCCCGTGCCATTGTCATTTCTCTTTGCCAAAATGGCATCAAGGTACCTACCTACTTACATATATTATATATAACTATATGTTTTAGTTTCTCTAGCTTTCAATACTACATATGTATAGGAAATATATTAACCCCCAAAAATATTTATATAATGTTACTTTTTGGTAAATTATACAGTAATATGTTACTTTGCTTGTAACATTTAATATGATCGAACGTAAATAAATACGTAGTTTGATATTGAAACTTGAACATGCAACTAGGGGAAGATTAGAAAAGGTTTTTAGTTAGGCGTGCAATCAGGGCCGGCTTAACTTGGTCGGGGGCCCTAGGGCAAAAAAAATTTTTTTACCTTTTAAAATTTATGTTTATTCAATATTTAATTTTTTTTTTGTTTTTTACAATTTAATCAGTAATATTTTGTGATAGAAAATAAAACTATATACTTGTGAAATATTATTAGGCCCCTTTTCAAAATTAGTTATTAAAATTTTATTTTTTTCTGTATAAAATATGTATTTATAAAAAAATTGGGCCCCTTAATCATTGGTATACGAGGGGACACGGGTTAGGACCCGGGGCGGTCGCACCGATTGTCCCCCCACTTAGCCGGCACTGCGTGCAATATAAAAATAACAAAATAGGTTGAGAATATTTTCTTTTCATTTTTCTTACAACGATTTTATTGAACTGGATTAACAAATTATTTAAGCAAATCAAAATTAATGAAGGTCGCACCACGTCTGACTCTGATGTAAGACGTACGTTTTTATTAAGTCAAAAGAAGTTTCGTATAAACGTTATGCATATGGCCTACTTTAAGTCCAAAAAAATCTAGCAAACTATTCATAATCAATGTTTTATACCTTTGACTTAATAGTTAGTTCATATTTTAAAAATATTCGCTTTGGTTTAATTTAATTGGGACCCAATTAATAAACTATTTCCACAAATAGGTGATGGTGTTACGTGAAGAAGAGTATTGCATGCTAGCCGGATCCCTTGACGGTCATTGTAAGGAAAATCTGGTGCTGACAATCAATTACTCTCCAATGGTACGTGTAAATTGCATATTGGCATTAATGAATAATAATGTACTAACTCATACGTAAGTATTAACCATGTAGATTTGGTTGGTGGGAGATGGCCTACGTAAAGAAGAGCAGAAGATGGCAACAAAAGGAACTCGTTTTCTTCCTTTCTCTCAGTTTCCTCCAACACAACTTCGAAAAGACTGCTTCTATCATACCACTCCAGCTATGATCATCCCTGACTCTGCCCATAACATCGACTCTTGTGAGGTATGTACATCTTTTTGAACTCTAGAGAAACTGTATTACAACTAGTTAATTATGATGTATGACACGTTTTTATACATATAGAATTGGCTGGGGAGGAGAGTGATGAGCGCGTGGAGAGTTGGTGGGATAGTGCATGCACTTGAAGGATGGGAGGAACACGAGTGTGGTCTTGATGAACCAGTTGTTAAACCTCCCAGAGTTTGGGAAGCTGCTCTTCGAAATGGTTTCAAACCTTTGGTTTTGCCGTCTCTAAAGACCAAAGGATTGAGCAATGGATACTAGTAATCTATTAACTGAATGTTGTAACGGAGACGGAAAGACAATGTAAGAAGTAAACCGTATAGCTTTTGGCGACCGGTTGCATTTTGTCAATTCACTTGACCTCTTTATTTTAAAAAATAATAATAAAGTTCTGGATTTTTGTTTTGTTAAGGTCAGTTTTAAATTAATTATTCGACAAAAAAAATTAATTATTCGACAACCGAACCGGTACGTTATATGACGTGCCTATTAGTAGGATATACTATCTATGTAGGTACCAACCAGACGTCGAAACTAAAATACTATTTTATCTTATGATTCTTATCTTATACTATGGAATAAAATTAAAAATTTAAGTTACAAAAAAAAGATTAAAAAAGTTGACAAAAAATGTAATTTAAATATTTAGACCTCTATGATCAAAAATATATATAGATATTTAGACCTCATCGAAAGCCCATTATCATTATGGGTCAATTGTAAAAAAATTTAAAGGAAAAGGGTTCCCCCGTGAAGGAGATGGGCCACCACTCCAGCGCCTGGACTCTTCTCTGTGTATAGTACACGCGTGTCGAAATCAAAAGCCGCATAAACAAAATCGACGGTTTATGTGTCTGCGTAGCGTTCACGCTTGTACGTGAAGTAACGTTCAATTATTTATATTTTATTTTAAAAAGTTTCCAGTTCCAGATATTTACGACATCCGAGAAGGGAAAGAGCTGTTTTCAGTAATTTAAAAAATTAACGAGGAAAAGCTCTCTTAACCGATCTATGCCTGAAGAGGAAGTGGATAACAAGAAGCCATCTGAGATTAACAGGTTTTAGTTTATTATTCTTATTCTTTTGTTACTTGAATATGCGAGCCTCAATATTACATTGAGCTGATCATATATTAGATCTCTATGTATTATATAATCTGACGATGGATAACTAAACTAGCTAATGTCTAATTTAGAGATCAAATCTCTCTTCCTCTTCTCAGTTCATAAAGAAACATAGATATTGATTTATAACTTGTATGTATTTATGTCATCATGTGATCATGTCAATTGTTGTGATTGAGAGTATTGTCTTCATGTTAGCTTTATTTTAATAAAAATGGGATTTAAAGTTATTCCTTAAAGGGATAAACATAGAGTTCCTATTCTTACTATGATTTAGACTTATCTGTAATATATAATACCTATCTAACTTAGGATCTTATCGGCTGTATATATACTCTTCGTATGTTATGAATAAACTCAAGCTTTCACAATATATTTCATGGTATCAGAGCCTTAAGATTCTGACCTAATTTTTCATCTCATTATTTCTATTCTACTTCTACTTCTACAATGGCTGGCGAAGAAACATCATCATCGGCAGCGACTACTACTCAATCTACTACGACAATTACAACTATCGACGTATCGTCGCCATACTACCTTCATCCATCTGACAATCCAGGGGCCCTTATTACTCCTGTTTTGTTAAAAAGCGACAATTACTCGGAGTGGTCTACCGAACTACGAAACTCTTTACAAGCTAAACGAAAAGTTGGGTTCATCGATGGAACAATACCTAAACCTGAAGGTGAACCAGATCTTTCGCGTTGGCTAGCTACTAACTCTAGATAGTAGGTTGGATTCGAACTTCAATCGATGCTAAAGTTCGTTCTACTGTCACCTTCGTTCCCGATGCTCATAAACTTTGGGAAACTCTCAGCTTCCGCTTCTCTGTCAAAAACGGTACTCGAATTCATCAACTACAAGACGAGATCACTAACTGCAAACAAGATGGCAAATCGGTTCTTGAATATTATGGTAAACTTACCAAACTATGGGAAGAGCTACAAAATCTTAAAACTTCACGACCTTGTACGTGCGATGCAGCGGCTGATATTGAGAAGGAACGTGAAGATGCCAGAGTACACAAGTTTTTATTTGGTCTTGATGATTCCAGGTTTATGTCTTTGCGATCTCGTATTACAGACGAAGATCCTCTACCTGATCTCAATGTTGTTTATTCTCGGGTTATACGTGAAGAACAAAATCTGATCTCTACAAAAGCAAAAGAACAACGCTCCGATATATTGGGGTTCTCTGCAACAACGGAATCAACTAAAAGCATACCTCCTACCACTAATGAAGCCTCAACTTATCGATCTCGTGATCCCATGCGTTCGTGTACTCATTGTGGACGTAAGGGGCATGACGTCTCTGAATGTTTTCTATTACATGGATATCCGGAGTGGTACCAAGAGCAATATCAACGTCCTTCTAACACTACACCGGGTCAAGGTTTTCGAGGTGGTAGAGGAGGAAGGTCTGGAGGTAACAGAGGACGTGGACGTGGACGAGCATCTCATGCCACGACTTCTATTAACAGTGATCAGATGATTAAGATACTTTTCTTTAGAGTGAAATTCTTATATTTTGTTTGGTGTTTGTTTCTTGCAGTTTCCATGACATGATCAGGAGTAGTAAACATGTGTTGAATATGGAAGCGGTTGAGTTGAGCAAGAAGAGGAAGTTTCAGACAGATCAATCGGAGTTATCATTGTTACCTCTTTCGAAGCATACTTGTTTTGCAAATAGTTACGACAGTATCAATGTCAGATCAGAGCTTGATTCAGAGTCTTATGTGAACTCGACTTCTATGGAATGTGAAAATGAGACTGAAATGAAAGAGGAATCATCAGGATCGTGCAGTGAAGACAAGATGATCTCTTTTGATAGTCATCTCGATTTCATCTATGGCACCCAAAACCTAGAGGATTTTTCAGACAAAGACATTGAAAACATTATCTATCTTGATGAAGAAGAAGAAGCTAAAGGATGTAGTAGTGCTTCTAACTTTGTTCTGTCCTCTGGGAGATGGACTGTTGACCGAGGTAAAAACCGACTTTTGGTCTTGTCCGTACCGGTTTCAGAACCGGGTACTCGCTAACTTGGTTTCATGCGTGCAGATTCTACTCAGCATGGCACAAAGAAGCCTACGATCGATCAAGAATTCGAGCAATACTTCTCAACGCTAATGTTGTGACAATTATGTGAAGACTCAAAAACTGTAATGAAAATAGTATATATAGAGGGGTGTTTTGATTATGTAGTCTCTTATCGTTTTGATTCTTGTGAACCATAAAACTTTCATTTCAAAGTGATTAGAGAGGTGGTTTTGAAATGTTTGTAAACAGGATACAAAAATAGTAGTGGGAGATTGATTCATCATGTAGGTTATAAGAACAAAACACTATACTCCCAATACTATCTCAAGAAACTTGCTTGCCCAAACCTTCATTGCAAATTCACAAGGAATATAATCACATCCGCATTTGAGGGTTTTCCAAAGAAAATTAAATCTCTTACAATAGTATATATTTTATTAGAAGAGTACTAATATTTTGAGAGACACCAATGTGGTGGATGGCCTGAATGTTCCTTTCGTTATGAAAATCCAGTTGGGCTTTTGGGCCTCATATTGTGAAAGATCTTACACCACTGCTCATATGTTTCCTTCATTTGTTCTCTCACAACCATATTGTTTTTCTTTATTAGGTTATGTTAGCTAAAACCATATAGTTTGCTTGTGTTGATGATAAGAAATAACCTTTTGCAACTCATTCTCCAACTTCCAAGATTTTTGATTCTCTGTAAAAATAATGAAATTAGTGATTTGAAAGCGACACAAAGGTCATATTCGAGAAGCGTAGCCTTGTAATCGTCCTTTCTAATATAACAAGTGTGTATGCATTTCTTTTCTTTCTTTTTCATCAATCACGTAGAAGTTACACAAGTCGCCATTGTGAAGGAAGGAAATAAAATATGAAATTATTGATGCGAAAGGAACAGAATGGTCATTTTCGAGAAGCGTAATTACACATACAAGTCTTATGAACTTGTGATAACAATGGAAATGAATTAACTCGTTCCACACGCCACGTGTGTCACCAAAACAATGATATGATAAGTTCTAACTAGGTGGTACATATTATTGGTGAAAACTGACCGTTCGAAACAAGAAATTGGTACTATGTTACAACTATTTAAACCTGAATCCCTGACATTCATGTTCAATTATCTAGATTTCAGATATCTCCATACTCGGATTTAGATTTTTTTTTTTTGCATAAGAAATAAATAAAAATATAGTGTAAAATATTTAAAAATCTAAACAGTATATAAATTGATATTTTAATGTAAATTGTAATAGATAAAAAATTAAAATATTATGTTTCTTTTACTGACCCGATGATATCCTCCAAACTTTGAAATCTGGATATCCTAAAAGTTACATATTAATGGTGCCTAAACTATTGTATTGATTTGCAAGTGAATGATTACTAGGGTACCGGAAAGTCAAAACCATAACTAATTGGGAAGGAGTGATGAATGTTATATTTGTAACTAACCGAGTTCAATAAAAATAACTTATCATAGGAAACAAAACCGTGTGGTACAAGTCTTCTTATTGATCAATTATCTTTTGATAGCTTTGTTGATCAATTATCTTTTGATAGCTTTGTTGATCAATTATTGAAGGGTTAGCTCTAAAACAAAACACACAAAAACATTGATCAAGAATAATAGAGAATGAGAAGGTGACAGCTCATCGCCTTAAAATGTTTTGTATTTGGTCTCTCATCAATCATCACATGTTTCTTTAGTTCAAATTTGGTCGTATATCAATACCTAGCTGTATTTAGCTACACCACCACACACATATGCTTCCAGTGGAGTATATACTTTATAGTTGTGTTACTATTCTCAATTCCTGTAAAGTATATATAAACTATCAAATAAAGTGGTAAAAGTCCTTATGTAGTCGTAAGAAGCAAGACCTTTAACTAAACCATTGCCTTTTAAAATTTGTTATTTTGTTGTTACTCTCTGCAACTATTCTTTTAAAGATAGTCTGGTGCAACTAAACATGTAGAGTAGAAATTTTAGATATACATTACTGAGAATAATTTCTAGTGGCATTTCGCCAGCGACGAACCGATAATTTAAAGGTAGGTATTTGGGTTCAGTGTTCGGCTTGAACTGTAACTTTTGCATATTACAGACTTCATCAGATAAAATATGTGTATTATATAGTTGACAAATAGATGATAAGCTTTGTATAGTCAAAAGGTATCGTTTAGTTCCGATTGAAGCAAAGAAAATTTCGTATCAAATTGAACACGTTACGTAACTGTATAAATAAATTAGTAGTATATATTACGGGAATTATGAGAAATACAAAAATTAGAAGCATTCGCCATTCTGTACTTAAAAGAAAAATAAGAAATGAGAAGCACGTAACATATAGACGTGAAAAAGTCGAAAACCGCGTTTGGCGTTCTCCTCTATATAAAGCCTGTTGCCCTCTAATCTTTCTCCTTCCCTTTCTTCGCCTATTTGCCTTGTTTGGCTCTCACCATTTGCGATCTGCGTTTTCATTAGCTGTGTCTCTCTTGCATCAGGTCCGATAATATATATACTTCTTCCTTTCTTTCTTTAGTATGTTCTTTCTACATTTTAGGAAACGATAGGTTATATATGCATTTATTCAAGAGTAATTATAATTACTGTTTCTAATTCTCTTAATAGTTCATATGATAAAACTACATTGTGACTAGCCTTTTTTATTGATATAGGTAGTTCTCAACCAGGCCAATATTTGTAGTTGACCAACTTTATTTTTAGTTTTACTATTTCGTTACGTTTTGATTATTTCTCTTTCTTTATTTTCCTGTGTCAAAGCATATCATTTTGTTCCCTAACGTTTTCTGATTTCTCAGTCAGATATATTATTCTTTTTTTCTTTTACGTAAATATTTTTTTACTTTATTTAAACGTTTCATTCATGTTTTGTTTTAAATAAATGTGAAATCAGTCAAACAAAAACATAATCACCAAACACACGGAGAGTTTAACTTGCAGACTTTGGCTGTTTCGTTTCCCACCATTTTTGTCTGGATCTCTTTTTCATCCTCTTCTTTAATTTAACTAAGCATGATGTCACTAAGCTAAGAATCTCTATTATAAAAGGTTCCCGAGGAGTGAGTAAAACCAGCGACTCATCAACTTAAAATGGAGACTGAGTACAAATACGATACCCTTTTATTTGGTAAGAGGCAGATTACGCTGTTTTGTTTTTTCTATGGAAAATTACTCTATTTAGTGTAATTTTTGTGGGAAATTTTTGCAGATCTTGATGATACCCTTTATCCATTGAGCTCTGGGATTGCTAGAGAATGTGGTCAGAACATCAAAGGTGACTTTTTTTGTTTCCATATTATTTCTTGAAGCACAAGTCATGTGAGTATTGAGGCTTTAGGATTGAACTTTTTGGTAGATTACATGGTGGAGAAGCTTGGAATAGACAAGAGTAAAATCTTGGAGTTGTCTAATTCACTTTACAAGAACTATGGAACTACCATGGCCGGTCTCCGAGTAAACCTTACTTCTCTCTTTTACTTCAATTAAACCACTTGAATTATACCCCACAGGTTGATTCTTGATCAAGTTTGATCATAACTTTTTTCAGGCCATAGGTTATGACTTCGACTACGACGAGTATCACAGGTAATATATAAACTCTACCAATAATATAACAATTTTTTTATATGATGATTCTGAAATTTATCTTATTTGCTATAAACAGTTACGTGCATGGGAGGCTACCTTATGATAACATCAAGCCAGATCCAGTTTTGAGAACTCTTTTACTTAGCCTACCTCTTCGCAAGATCGTAATGTTTCTTTTACATCTCATCATGCCTAGAAAAGTTACACGTACAGATATATATGAATGTGTCACTATTTTTGCAGATCTTCACGAACGCTGACAAGTTACACGCAGCTAGGGCCCTAGAGAGGCTAGGGCTAGAGGACTGTTTCGAAGGAATAATTTGCTTTGAGTCATTGAACTCTACTAACTGCGACAACATACATGGCAATGATGAGATATTCGACATCATCAAATATCTGTCGTCTGATCATGAACATCCACTTTCCGGTTTGCCTAAAACACCAATTGTTTGCAAACCATCCGAAACCGCCATAATAAAGGCTATTGAAATCGCCAACATTGATCCTCAAAGAACCGTGAGTGTGTCAAGATCTGAATCTTGTAGAGACTTGTTAATTTTGTTTACTTAGACATTAACCGTTTATTTGTCTTGTAGTTGTTCTTTGAAGACAGTGTTCGAAACATTCAAGCTGGTAAACGCGTCGGTCTTAGTACCGTTCTGGTGAGTTAATTAATTAAACGTTTATTTTCAATGATGGAGAGTGAACGCTGAAGATTAATGTGTTGTTTGAACAATCATGAATAGGTTGGGACTTCGCAGAGAGTGAAGTGTGCAGATTATGCGGTAGAGAACATCCATAACCTAAAAGAGGCTTTGCCTGAGCTTTGGGAATCGGACGCTAAGCCTGAAAATGTTAGGTACTCCGGCAAGCTTGCCGTTGAAACACCGGTTATAGCGTAATCAACACGCATTTCCTTATTTGGAAAATTCAGGCAGAGAATTGATTGTTATAGTTTCTCTTTTGTAATAATCTCTGCTTTTTTATTTATTTTGTAAATAGCATTTCCTCTTATTATTATGAGTTAATTAATAAATAAAATATTATATAAGAAAATCCAAATGATGAGATGTTATACAGATGGTACAAGAAGAAAAGATACTCTATATATTTTTAAAACAAGGATGATTATATAAAGGAAACAGTAGCAATGCAGGAGGAAGAAATATTTGAAGCAGTCTCACACACTTATATAAACCTTAGAATGTATGAAAACGTTGACAAAAAATGTATGAAAACATATCAGACTTGGTGTTTACAATATATAGTTCTATTTTGGTGAAATGGCTATACAAATATAATGACATGTTTTTTCTCGTTTCATATGAATTTCAGTGTTGTAAAGAATTTTAATAATTAATAGAAATTCATCAGCTCTAATGGTTTAGTTTCAAAAAAATTTTTTTTTTAATAATTCTTATCACATTACACAAAGACGGAACAAAATGGCGGAAGTAAGGCGAAGATAATGTTGAATATAAGAATACTCGTTAATCTTAGCCTTCTTAGCGATGTAATCACAATCTTCATAGAATTCAGTTTCAGTCGTTTTAATAAGTTTTTGATTACATTTTTGGCGAAAGTCAGGCTATAAATTAATTACACAAGATCGCACTTTTTGAGTGATTGTCCGTAGGGCTGGGCATTTTATCCGTTATATTTGATTCGATCCGTTATTCGTTTCGATTCGATCCGAAAATTCCGGATATCCGTAAACTTTCGAATCAAAGCAAATATTAAAATTCAATATCCGTTAAAATCGAAGCAAATCACAAATATTAAAATTTTAGAAAGCGGATATCCGATCCGATCCGTAAATATATAAATATATGTATATTTTGATTATATTTAAAATTTTAATTGTATAAAATTATAGAATTATTAATTTAGCACATAATTTTGAACAATTCTATTCAAATTATTACTTATATAAAAGTATTACATAAAAAGAGATAAAATATTTTTGACAATTATATTTTTTTCTTAAATTTTGTGTTATTATAATTGTAACTTAAACTTTAAAAAATTACAAAATCTATAAATTCACTAGTTCTTTTAAGTTTTATTTTATATATCATGCAAAAAAATATTTTTGNATAATTGTAACTTAAACTTTAAAAAATTACAAAATCTATAAATTCACTAGTTCTTTTAAGTTTTATTTTATATATCATGCAAAAAAATATTTTTGCAAAGCAAATTTGTATCAAAATCTTAAGATTATTTGTACTAATTAAAATGGATGAGATATCCGTAAATATTCGTAAATATCCGCAAATATCTATTTATTTTCCGAATATCCGTTTTTCCGGATATCCGTATTTTTTCGAAGCAAAGCAAATACCAAAATTAGATATCCGTAACATTCGAAGCAAATCACAAATACCTTAAAAACCCCGGATATCCGATCCGTGCCCACCCCTAATTGTCCGTGGCCCATATTAAAACGAGGCCCGTTTCGAGCTTGAGTTGGAAATAAAAAGAAAACATTAATTCAAAAACCAAAGGTGACGTGGCGAGAATGAAACGATAAGGTGTGTCTCACTCACTCACTCACTCACTCTCTCGTCGCCATCGTCTACCAAACGCAACTCAAATGGCGACGACGACATTCTTCCATCCACTACTTCCTTCCAACAGTTACAAATCCGTATCTGTAGCCTCACCGTTTGTCTCAGTTCCTCATTCCTCAGTCCCGTCTTCTTCGTCGTCTCTCCAGTTCCGCTCGCTTGTTTCAGTTGATGGGAGAAAGTTAACCGGAAAGCTCAGAAGAGTATCCCCTATTGTTTCCGCCGCCGCAACAACTGAACCTCTCACCGTCCTCGTTACCGGTGCCGGTGGAAGAACAGGTTCTCTCTCTCATATTCTGAAATTGCATTAGAAGACTGTTCAATGGTTTGATTGATGAGTGTGTGTTGAAACAATGTGGCAGGGAAAATTGTGTACAAGAAGTTGAGAGAGAGGTCGGATCAGTTTGTGGCGAGAGGTTTAGTGAGGACTAAAGAGAGCAAGGATAAGATCGGTGGAGAGGATGAAGTGTTTATCGGAGACATTCGAGATCCTTCAGACATTGCTACTGCTGTTCAAGGGATTGATGCTTTGGTCATTCTCACGAGCGCTGTGCCGCAAATGAAACCTGGTTTTGATCCTAGCAAAGGAGGGAGACCTGAGTTTTACTTTGATGAAGGAGCTTATCCTGAACAGGTTACAACATTATGATTTTGTTTTTGTTATTCTTAACGGCAACTTAAATCTAGGTGTGTACCAGTAAAAAGATTCCGGAGTATAATATTTTGATTTAAGAAAAACTCTAAGTAACAAAAAATTAATACCGGGT